GGTGAGGGGAGGAGGAGAGGCGCAAGGTGCCGGCAGTGACCGAGGAGGGTTGGAGGGGGACAGGGACACGACACGGGACCGAGGGGTAGAAAAGTACAAACACAGAGGGGGCCGGGACGATGGGCACGGGCGGCCGGAGCCGGGATGATGCTGGAGCCGGGATGCAGGAGGATGCTCCGGGCACACGAGGACCTGGATGCAGGAGGATGGTCCAGGCACACCAGGACCGGGATGCAGGAGGATGGTCCAGGCACACCAGGACCGGGATGCAGGAGCAGGAGGATGCTCAAGACACCCCAGAACTGGGATGCAGGAGCCAGGGTGATGCCAGAGCAGGAAGATGCTCAAGGCTTGCCAGAATCAGGATGTCAGGGGATGCTCAAGGCATGCTGGATCCAGGATGCCAGAGCTGGAGGATGCTTGAGGCACACCAGAGCCAGGATGTAGGAGCAGGGAGATGCTCGAGGCGCACCGGAGCTGCGATGCCAGAGCAGGATGATGCCAGAGCAGGAAGATGCTCAAGGCTTGCCAGAACCAGGATGCTGGAGGGTGCTGGAGCACACTGGAACTGGGATGACGGAGCAGGAAGCGGCTCAAGGTACACCAGAGCCGGGATGGAGGAGGATGCTGGAGGCACGCTGGATCCGGGATGCCGGAGCGGGATGATGCTCATGATATGCCAGGACCAGGATGCCAGAGGATGCTTGAGACACCCCGGAGCTGGGATGCAAGAGCCAGGATGCTGAAGGAGCAGCAGGGCCGAGGAAGTGGGAGCGGGGGGTACCAGGGACACAACGGAGCCAGGGGCTGGCACTGCCACTTCAGGGCCCGATCCTGCCCCCCTGATTTCCCCCCCTACACTGCATGGGGCATGACCCCCTGGGGCCAGCAGAGCTGGGGACAGAGCCATGTCCCCATCCTGGGGTGGCACAGAGCCACACAGCCTGGAATAGGGATGCTCAGGGCAGGATGGGGACATTTGGGATGGTGGCACCAGAGGGGACCGCGATGGCCACAGTGACAGAGTGTCCCCACCACGGCTCCACCCTCATCCCCTGCTGTCCCCAGTGCCACCATCCCCGTCCCCAAGCACCATGGGGGGGCAAGAAGCAGCTTTTTAAAAAGCCATAAGGACAAAACCCAGCGTGGGGGGTGGCCGCTGGTGTGGCAGTGGGAGCGTCGGCGTCACCGTCACCTGTGGCTCGGT